CTTCTTAGAAAATAACCACTTTGAGTGTTTCTGTCACTCGTTTGTGAGAAGGCGATTAAGCTAGCCGCACCTAAATTTGGAGTGCACTCGTATTCAAGCCTTTATGGTAAATCCACTAAAATGGACCAGTGCGAGCTGACAGTCATTTTCTCTCTTTACAAAGACAATTGTTGCAGTATGAGAGTCCTACCTGAAGAGAGGCTGTGAAGTCTTCATGTTACGCTATACGAGAACCACATGCAACATTACTTATCAAATTGGGTCGGACTAGATGAATTTAGTACAAGGATACATATGTGACAGCGTCCAGTTTTCAAAATAAGGTGTCTATACAGTATGGAAATAAGATTAATTAATAGTATAAAACATATTACATGTGTCCATTAAAAATAAATGGACACATGTAATTTACTTTACCGGACCCTCTCGGACCCCCCCACCATCGTCATTTTGCTGTGTCATTGTCTTTTTAAGTGAAGCTAAGCTAAACCTTTGAGTGTTTGCTGTTGGAATGCAAATGTTAAGGTTGTTGTAGCAAAATCATAATATGCTTATTTTAACAAATCCACTCTTCTTGGAAATTTGGTACCGATTCCAATTCGGAACCGGTTCTCGCTACCCAAACATTACTTCCCAGTAACATTCATGGAAGCATCATAGGCATACATATTAATACTCTGTAGGAGGAAAATAGATGCATAAAGAGGACTTCTACAGCTACCACTGTAGGTACTACTACCACACCTTTCCAGGCTTTATACTGCTGACCCGGAAAATCTTTGGAGAGTCAGACTGGGTTGTTTGTGCAGCCTCTTCACAAAACCTTGTAAGATTAGATGAGACTGTTGCTTTATACTGACAGAATGGATGCAGCATCTTTCTCTGCGTACAGTGTGTGCACTCATGTGGTCTGACTTGTTTCTCTACAAAGCTATTTTGTCTGCAGCAGTCTTGCTTACAAAGCTCTGTACCAGAAAATAGAGAGCAAACAGTTTGATCCTCTGTGTAAAACACACACGCTCACACACAGTGACCAAAATCTTTTTGATTTAAACTAATGGCCATGCCTTTTAATGTAGTTATGAATAATTTACTAAAATAACATCCTTTCTGCAAGGATATCCACAAGAACAGTTAATAAAAGGCATGAAGCCATATGGAGTTTTGCTAGTAGCCTATCCGGATGTCTTCCTCCTTCTTGTCTCAACACACTTTGCACAAGCTAGCCTGCCTGACCCTGCAGCTAATCTCTTAAACCAATTTTAGTTTCCCCTCTCTGGTGTTAACATTGCCTGCATCTTTATCTGGACCATTAAACTAATCGTATTAATGTCACTTTCCACTGACAGGAACCATCAGACTTCAGATGCATTAAAAGTTAGACGATTAAAAGGAATACATGTCCGAAACTTTTATCACTACTGGATATGATATTAATTATTAATTAATTGCAGTGGAGTATTTTCTTTATGTGCCCTCTTTGGTTTTATGTAACAAGAAGATCTCAGACTTCCGCCATGACGTCAGGTTACTAACACAGGAGTAGTTGAACATCAGACTTTTTGTGACCGTTATACATGTAAGCCTATATAATCAATACAAAATGCGCTCGTCTCTAGTGACCTTATAAAGTAATTAATGGTAATATTACGTTATTTGTACAGCACCTTTCAAAGACTGGAGGACTGGAGGGCCACTGCATGGTGAATATGAATTTAAAAAGCTCTCCCAGCCATCACCAGCTATCACGAGGTGCCTTTGAAGAAGGCAGGTGACTCCCAGCTAATCTAGTGAAGAATGAAGTATAAGCCTACATGGTTTTTTTTAGAAGGTATTTAAAGTTGTGACAACATAGGTGTGGCAAACAATGGTTGTCTTCCCTCAATAATTTATCAAGTGAAGTTACTAAAAACAGTATATCTGTCAAACTTAATACAGTTTTATAATTTTTGCCTGCAGCAGGTGCGCATGTGCTGCCAGCTCCTTTGTTGAGAGCTGTGCAATAAAAAGGTTCCACTTCTTGGTAGGTGAAGCTGAAGCCTCCCTGACGGTAAATACCATTCCATTCCTCCGTTTAAAAAGGTCATTTGTCAAGAGTGGCTTCTCAGTTATTACCCTGCTCCTGAGTAAACTTGTCTCATCATGCTAACGTTTAGCTTGAGACCTGCTGTCTGCAGCCCCAGCTGGCCTTTCTCTTCTCTTTAATTTGCAATAAAAATGATGAAACAGTGCTCACTAATCACCTGCTTGTTATTGTACTTGTAAAGGTCTCATCAGCATTTACATATAATTATCCATGTGAATCTGTGTTTGTACATCTCTAATGAACTGTAATGTTACTTGGCTCAATTGCTCTCATCTCCTGCTCATTTAGTCCCTAAAACCGATTTCTTTTAATTCTTTCTTTCTTTCATCTGTAAAACTTCTCCCACCTTTCTTTTGCTCTAGTCACAACACCTGCAGAAAGATTTAAGATCCAACCTTTCATTTCAACTGTGCTTTTAATTGACCTACTGTATCTGGGATTATGTTTTACTAAGCAGATATAATAGAGGGATTACTCCAAGTCTTAGTTAGCACTCGTCTGGTCCAGGTCATGATTGGGTGAGCAGATGATTTTAAGCAACATTTAATTCCTACCCCAGCTTATGTTGTACCTTTTTTATAATGCTTTACTGAAGACATTGCAAAGCATGAATTAACTTACACAAGCCAAATTTGATTAACCTGGGCTTGGTAGGACTGCCAACAGACACTGAGGCTGAAGAAGATGTTATGTGGTACATCGTGCTATATGATAAATAATTTCCACATTCATTTGATTGTTAAACTGCATTTAATACTTTAAATTTGCGTGATATCTGACATTGCCTACTGGCATGACATTGAAGCATTTTTTTCCTGGCTCAATTCATCTGCTGTAATTAGACCAAGGTACTACACTAAGTTATATATTGACATCTAAAACGGCTAGTTTCATGAATATAGAACCTTGCTACCCTGTAATTGAACGATGCATTAGCAGCCAGTGTATATTCATCTGCAACCAAGTGTACTGTTAATGTGTCCATGAATGAAATCACAAGATGTTGACTATATAAGATAAACAAATGATCTAAATACCTAATTAGCCTAAAAAGGGGAGAGAGATGTGAATTTGGGGGTTTTCTGGATTTTAATTTTAATGACACATGACGGTGAGGGAAACTTTTTCTGTGTATTATTATTTGTGTCATACAGAATGGGGATGAGATCATAGCCCAGTTTAAGAGTCAGCTGCTAGGTGTGTGTGTGTGTGTGTGTGTTACTGTTTCCACTTCACATGGTGATGACTCACCCTGCTTAATGTACAGATGGGAATAGAAGGATATAGTTTTGTTAGGTTTTCTGCAGCTATTTTAAATTAACTTATTTTAGTGCTTTTAGTGCAAAATTAAGTTGACATCACCATGGGACATCTCAGTGTTTGCTCAGATATTGCCAGTTTTAAACAGAAGGTTTAGGCCCAGTGAATGATGCTATTAAGTTGCATTACAGTGGGAACCAGTGCTTTTAGAGCTTTACCTACAGTATGTACTAAACCCCGAATAGATTTTTGACTATTCCTTTTGTTTTGTTTTTCTTGCACGTCCACAATCTTTATTGAAGTACAATACTAAATACTAAAGTCCCACTTAAAGGTGTTAATTTTACACATTCTCTAGTCATCTTTTGGGTCTGGTTTGGGAATTCATGTTTTTGCTGGGCCTTTAAGACATTGTATGGGTGAACTTGACTTTAAAGGTCCCAAATGCACATAAATGTGTCGCCGTTGCGTCTAAAGACCCCCAAACTATGAGGAAAAAATGATCCTCTCTCGTTTTCTCCTGCTCAGTCTTTCAGTAAATGTGTGTGTAAACACAGCGTTTGAATTTGGCTCTCTTCTTGACGCCATGGAGGGATCTGTGTAGCATAGGACCTCCTCCAGACCTTTAGCGCAGTAGACGGCCCCGCCCACTGAACACGAACTAAATACACTGCTCTCAGCCCCACCATCCAAAACAACACCAAGCGTTGTTATATTTTTTCTGTTTTTTCCCTCTGATGTTGATGCTTCTGATGCTTTACCTGTTGTTAATGCTACAGTAACCTATAGCTACTGCTAACTGTGGTTGCCGTTTTCAGCTGCTTCTGCCCGAACTGGGCGCTCCCAACAGTCCAAAGCTCCTGTACTAACAGAGATGTTAACACCAACACAACCCTGAAGCATCAAGCTTCCGGGCAGAGTCAGCTAACAGGACTGCTAGCTGTATAGCTAACTGAGCTAACTAGCTTGCGGCAGCTACCGTTAGCAGTAGTTAACAGCTAATGTAACTGCTAACAACAAGTAAAGTTATCTGTCCATCAGGAAACACCATAAATGACCAAAAAGTAGAGGCAGAGTAGCCGGAGGACATGAAAAAACAGAAAATGTTTTCTCAATAAAAATGATCAGGTTTCACCAAAAACAGTAAATAAAGCCTTTGCAGGCTTCCAGAAGTTGGCCAGGGTGTTCAGACAGAGGGTGAAGAAAAGTGCTGAAGCAGTGAATATTATGAGAAAAATAATGCGTTTTTTGAACATTAAAGCATGTTAACACTTTCTAGTAGACACCCAAAATAAAAGTATTAACCTGAAAATGAGCATAATATGGGACCTTTAATATTTCATGTCAGAAAACATAAAACACACAAAAACATGAGACACAAGCAATTAATGAGATGACAAGGACTTAATTTGCCATTAGAAACACAAATAGAAAGAATATATAAGCGGTCAAATTCTTTTGTGTTCATTTGTTTCAACTGAGGTTAAAAGATTCAAATTTAGTTTGAGATGAAATTAGCTAATATCGTGTTATTGATCACTCTCTCTACAACCTGCCCTTAAGTCTGCATGTAGAATATATGTGTGTGTGCTTTGGGGCCTGTATCGGATGACCTGTAACGTCTTTCCTCTCTCTGTTGCTTCGTATTTTTCAGATGTACCACTCTGACCACGGTGTTGACTTCCCCGACCTCTCCTTCCAAATCCCTGGCAGCCTTGCAGAAATAGGCCCAACAAACAGAGTGTGAACACAACCTTCAACACACCACACATCTTCTTTTTCCTTCACCCACACAGGGCCTCCCTTTGCTCCAGTCCCACCCTCCCTCCTCCTGGACCATGGACAGTCCTCCTAAGTTGTCAGGCGAGACCCTGATCGTGCATCATATTCCCCTGGTGCACTGTCAGGTGTCAGGAGGACGGCAGGCGGGCTGCGGTGGCTCGCTGAAGAGAAGCAACCCATTTAGCCCACCGGAGAACCTGGGCTTGAGTCGCACCACTTCTCTTCCTGAGAGAGACGTTCTTCAGAGAGAGGCACTGCTCTACAGTAGCCTGATCCAGACCTCCAGCGGGTCTTGTTCCTCCCACAATGGAGGAAGCGAGAGGAAGGGTGGCGGGAGAGGAGGCAGCACAGCAAGTGATGATTCATCGTTTACCTCGAGCAATTCAGAGGACCAGCTGATTGCAGCACACACATTACCCAGAGCCAAACCGAGAAACAGGAATCCATTGCGTCATAATCCATTCCTGCTGAATACCGAAGATGACGAGGATGAAGAAGAGGAGGAGGAGGAGGATGGTGACAACCTCAGTGGTTACCTTGAAGACTCCTCTTTTCACCTCCACAGTGACACAAACTCTGCCCTCAATGACGGGATGGCTTCTTTTCACTTACACAAACTTGGCTTTGCTTCTGAGCCCTTTCTTTTGCACAGCTCAGTGGGTGGAAGCAGTCCAGAGTCTCTGAGGGGTGTAGCCTCTGATCTCTCCAACCACCTGGAGATTTTAGGACTCGATAGCCAGCGGCGCCACGGAAGCAGCGGTTCCAACATGTCCATGGATTGCGGAGAGCAAGACTGGGGTGACGACGAAGAAGATGAAGATCATCCTATGAGGTGTGGGCGGGGCAGCAAGACCGGTTCGTACTCCTCCAGCTCCTCCACGCAGCACTGCTCGTGCTGTGCACTCTCCCAGAACTACCCTCAGCACTTCCCTGAAGCCTTCTTGGAGCCTTTCTCAGAGTGCCAGCAAGGCTACGGCAGCGACTCCTCTTGCAACAGCTCAGATGGTGTGCTCGTAAACTTCAGCGCTATCTACAACAAGATGAACAACAGCATCCCGGAGAAGCCACCGGTGTCTGGGCACACCAACCTCAACAGCTCCACTGACCACTCCTGCACCTCATCTGTTTCTGATCCATCAGGAAACCAGCGAGACTCAACCAGAGGGGCTTTCTATTTGGACCTTCACACCTCTCCCACTGAACCTCCCCTATCACAGCAACAACCCTCCTGCCTTGGCAGCACCTTTCCTCTCATCCGTGAACCTCACCTGTCCACCTCCTCCACCTGCTCCTGTGCAGTGGAGCACCATGGGGCTCTTGACCTCGACGCCAACTGCAACTCCTATCACCCTGCGCATTCTGGGTCAACCGGAGACCTTGCGTCCTGTCTGCAGAGTGAGGCGCGCCTGGTTGTCGCCACACAGAACTACTACAAACTGGTCACCTGTGACCTTTCGTCCCAGTCCTCCCCGAGTCCCGCAGGCTCCTCGGTCAACAGCTGCTCCGATGAGCACAGCAAGGGCAGCCCCACCCCAACACAGCCTAGCGAGTACTTCCTGTTCAGGCAGCGAGCTGATGAGGAGGGAATGTACGAAGAAGATGAAGATAGAGAGTCACCTAGGGTGAGTGGAGAATCCTACCCCACTAATTTTAACAGTTCATAATCCTTCTAACAGGATACACAATGGGTTCCTGTGTGTGATGTTCATTAATACTATATGCACAGGTTCACACTTAATTCACTGTACATATTTATTTAAAACAAAAAAGCTAGACAAGGTTGATCAAAAATAAAAATGAAAATAAAAATAAGGATTAGTAAGAAAACGTATTTATATTTCTCAGTAAGGTAGTAAAATAGAAGCACTGCTTTGGTTTCGGTACCAAAATGCATCACATTGTCAAGTCAACTTTATTATAGCACATTTCATACATAGGATAAACACAATGTGCTCTACATAAAGAGACAAAGTATTCAAAATACATCATACAAGTGCAAATCCATAAAATATGCTATAAACAGGTGTTAAAATACAATAAAATAAAATCAAACAATGACATGTATCATGAAATGATATACAACATATTTATATTTTTATTTACAATTAGCTTGGAGATTTGTAAAATGTATGATGTTGTCATATTATTATAGTATTCCACTTAAAGTTGAACAATATTGAATTATTACCCAGCCCTAGTTCCACATAGCCGTGGTTCATCAGTTTCCACATTGTTGGAATAATTGCCTGCCTAAAGTACAGATAAAGAATGATGTTTAAAATAATCCATACTACCGATCTGCTCTGCTGTTGCTGTATTTTTACTTGGTTTGTGGGATTACTTAGCCACCTCTTTTGTGTGGGCTCTCTGGTTGTTGGTTCACTTGCAGTATTAATGACCAGGGACTCGCAGAGGTGAAAGTTGTGCTTCTGTAAAATATTGCCAGCTAATTGTCTGTAATACAGGACATTAAAAAACGTGGATCACTTAGTACTTGGAAATAAACTCATATGCTCATTAACTATGAACTAAAGATTACTAATTTCAAGAAGTCAGATGATTACATCATTTTGAAATCTAACATTTTCTCTTACTCTTCGATTTCCACTCCAGTCCCTCGGTATGCATAATTAATCAAGTTTAGGCAGTACATTTAGTTCATTTACACCAACAAGTAATTCTTACTTAGACTGTAAGGCAAAGGAAATGGAAGAAGAGATTCAAGTGATTTGGTCAAAAAAACCACTCAACAAGAAAGGGAATAATGCAAAACAACATAATAGCATAAATAGCAACTAAACAGAATAGAAATTAAACTGAAGGCCCTGTGACCATAACCCTGAAGTGAACATTTTCGTGGTACTGGTATAAGTCTGGCACTGGCTCATTTTAGTTCACCAGCCAGTGTGTAGGGTTATCTGATATCATGTCTGAGGATTATCTCAGCAGTTGTGTAGAGCTAAAGGCTATTACAGTACTATCTGTAAGTACAGTGACACTGTGTCAAAGCAAATCTGTCTTGAAGGCAGTTTATCTGTCATACTATAAATGTGACTGCTGTGTTCTTTGTTTTATTTCTTGCCTTATTTCTCTTCCTCCAGAGAGATGATGGTGATGATCATGGAGAGGACGAGGAGGAGGAGGAGGAGAAGAAGAAGAAGAACAACAACCAGCAGGCAGCTGGTGGAGCTGAAGCTGCTCCTGCCGTGATTGAAGGCCAGGTGTACGTCAACATCTCCCCTCCTGTGGCTGGCCGGGGAGTTATCGGAGGTGGAGCCTCTTCAGGAAGCCGTCCTCGTTCTCGCAGCTACGACCGCAACCTGGACAAGTCTCCATCTCCTCGGCTCGGCTCTCTGGAGCGTATGTTGAGCTGCCCCGTCCGGCTCAGCGAGGGCGCCGCACCAACCCCACCTCCTCCTCCAAGAGTCACGTCCTTCGCAGAGATCGCGAGAAGCAAGCGGAGAAACGGCGGTACAGGGGGGTCGCCATCGCTGAAGGCGGCTGCAGACCCTTTCTCCTCCACTTACTCCACCCACTCACTCTCCTCGGTGGATTTCTCTCCGATCCTGGAGCAGCGTGTGGAGGTTGACAGTCACATCCTGTCACCTCTACCCTTTACCAGATGTTACAGTCAGGGCAGCATTGAGCGACACCTGGAGGGGGCGAGGGAGACCAGGGCCAGGGCCGAAGGTACGTCACCTGTAACTATTTCATTAAGTAACTATTTCATTAAAAAACATTGCCGTAAATGTGCCAGAGTTAGCCAAGAGGCTATTTTTTTTTTTTCATCTGTAGTACCTTGACAGATGTTACAAAGTTGGCCTGTTTACGAGATAATAGTGTTGATACAGGGTGGATCAGACACGACAGATATAACCATTACATTACATTTATTCATTTAGCTGATTCTTTTATCCAAAGCGACTTACAATTGCTATATATTTCCGAGGTTGCACGCTTCTGAAGCAACTAGAGGTTAAGTGCCTTGCTCAGGGACACATTGGTGTATGGGTCACAGTGGGAATTGAACCCGTGTCTCTCACACCAAAGGCTTGTGTCTTATCCACTGCTCCATCACCACCCCCAACCCCAGGTTAAAGCTCCATTTATTATTTTTGGGCAGAAAAACTCCACCATAAGCTGCCAGACACACAGCCCTGACATATTTATGTCTTTAGACAGTTCGTCTAATCAGCATTAGTCTGGAGTTGTGTATCTGTCTACCTGATTAATTGAAGTCAAATATTAACCATCCTTTTAGCTCTGGTTTGGTCTCCACCAATTCCTGTGAAAAATATCTGGCTCTTTAGCAGCTGGCTGTAAAAACAAAACAAATCCAGGCGCTAAAATGCTTTCACATTGGATGATGATTCGCTGTGCAACAAACTTCACTTGAAGCTGTACAAGCTTTTGAGATATCAATATTTGTCGATCAGTGCATTCACTGCAATAGTCTGCTTCAGTTACTCATTTACTTCTTTACCTGACGTGCTGCCTTTTATTTTAAAAATATAACCTGTGTGTCTTCACAGATGATTGTTCATGGAAAAATTGGTTTCTCTGCCTCTTCTACACTAAATTTTTCCTCATAAGGTAGCTGAATATTGCAGATTTGTGTGTTGGTTGAATTTACTGACACTGCATAGTGTATTTGGCCACAGGAGTTTAAATTATTCAAATAAATTATTAAATTATATCATTAATACATCAAAATGGACCTAGAAAGGCAATGTGCATGGCTAACAACTGTTATTCCTTTTCAACGGTTAACATTATCATTCTAACTAATACTGCAGAGACTTACTTTACACAAGCAACAAAAGAACAAGAAAACTGTATTTTATGTTAAATTCTTCATGGCATCATTCAGACATACACATACATTTCCACAATAAATGTTTTTGTGGCACTGTTTGTTCACCTTTTGGACATTTTTTATGCTCTGTCTGTGTTTTAGATGTGTATGGTTTTGTTTTATCTGTAGTCTAGATTTGCTTTGTGTGTGTGTGTGTGTGTGAGAAACTTTGAACAGAGTCATGCAGAGTGTGGACGCTTGGCTTTAGAGGGAATGAAGGGTTGAAGTGGGCCAAACGTGTTCTGAATAACAATCAGTTGAGAGAGGAGTTAAGGTGCAGAGAAACCCCCCACCGAGCTCTACATCAGCATACCGACCTGTATGGGTCTGCTGTATGTTTGTGTGTGTGTGTGGTGTGTTGTTCTGATCCAGAGAGCCCGTAGGCCTTTCTCGTCCCTAAAACAAGGGAAGGTCAGAGAAAGTTACAGAAGTGATGGAAAAATGTGTCACCTCACTTTCTCTGCAAAACATGTGCTTGCTGTCATGTCAAGGTGACGAGAAGTGATGAAATGCTGAAATCTCTAGCCTGACATGCATCCAGTTGTAGCATTTCATTGTTTCCCAAAATTAAGAAATCTGTGAAATCTGAATCAGCAGCTCACAACGTCAGATGCAACATGGGGACCAGAAGCAGCTGCCGGTGTTGTCAGAGATGTATTGAGGAACTAGGCCTAAATAATTGACCTTAAAATAATAATAATTAATAGACATTTAAAATATCCAGTGGAGTTATTGGCAACAGGGCTCAGCCGTCGAAGGTTGATATTATATTCCTGCCACATCAGCCTGACTTCTTGTCTCTCTGAAGAGGGAGACAAATTATTTAATTTCCTATAGAGATTTTATTTGTAAATGATACATGTCCAGTTAGTGCGATACTAAAAGACCACAAATTATTTAGTGTCAAAAATGTCACCAATGTAAAAATAAAGAACATGTATCCTTGAAGACGATATATTATACTTCTTGCAAATACAACCACTTGCAAACGTGCAGGCGAGTCATAGGGATATCTGAACGAGCTGTAAAGTGTGAATGGGCCCAGAGTCACATGCTTCTGGGCCCATTCACACTTCACAGCTCGAGGACTGTATTAGTTTGAGCAATAGAGCGCACAAAGAAAGAAGCAGGGTCACGGAGACTACAACTTTTAATGCCTAATTCTGTTGTCAGAATGTTTTCAGCCGCTGTGTCTTGCTCTGACCCTTCGCCAAGGTTCTAGTCACCGATGAAGACTGGAGGACCTGGAAGGCCCTCTAACTGTCCATCATATTGTTTAATTATACCAGTGAAATACTTTCTCTCAGTTGAGTGCAGAATCATTTATCTGACTTTTTGCATGAACACACATCACTTTATAGAGTTCAGTCTCAGCTGCCTGCTGTGTGTGTCTGGTTAGACAAACACAAACACAAACTCACACACACACACACACACACACACACACACAAACAGAGAGTGCTTGGAATTCCTTTGGCATAAGAACAGGGACAGTAAAAAGAGAGTGCACCAGGAGAGGAATGTCCCAGGAAGCTCCAGCTGTCCCCTTCCACAGATTCATGCAGGCTCGGGCTCCCAAAATCATTTTAGGAAGAAAGAAAAACTCAAATTCATAATGATGCTGTTATGAAGATGTTTAATTAAACTACTCCCCTTTGGCTTCTTAAACTAATTCTTTATTTAGACAAAACAACATTTCTAGCACAAGTGAATTTCAGTGACATTAATAAAAAGCATCAAAATGCATCAAACCAGCTTTATACAAAATTAACCCCCCTGCCCTCAGGTCACATTACCAACCTCCTGTATAAACAATGTTCTGCCTCATTTACAGAGGATTTGTTTGCTAGATTATGGAGTGGTTGTTTTATTCTCTTCCAAGTTTCCATTATGGACGTCGGTTTTGTAACTCAAACACTGAATGAGCATGGCACATTCAGTATGGACTAGGTCAGTATGCAGGAATGAAAAAAATCAAACTCTGTTGAAGTCAAGCCACTCCTGCAGACTAATTCACTTTACTAACCATTTAAAAAAAATGGTTAGAAATTCAAGTCCACGGGTTAACATTTAGAGTAGAAGAGAGCTTTTTAAAAATAATAATTTCATTTTCCTATCTAGCTTGGTTGAAACACAAGGACATAAGGTAAATGTAATTTGAAAGCATTTATACAGAGTACGTAAACCCAGTAATCAAATAGCCACATAGATTCTCATCACAAATGGAAACAGCATTTCTATAATATGGAAATCATAAACTACTCTTGATGCAAATGCAAACATTCATACAGACCCGATGACAGCACCCATCTACCCCTTATGCTCCCCTCTCTATATCTACATGGCTGCAAACAAACAAACAATCAGAACAGGGATATTGTCGAACTACTCTACTATAGAGCTGTACTCATAGCTCTTAGATTTAATCCATTCGTCTTTTGACAGAAGATTAATGTGCACCAACTTTCATAATCGTTATCAGGAATTTTTTAAGTGAAAATCACTTGTTCCAGCTTCTCAAAGGTGAATATTTGCTGGTGTTCTATGACAATAAACTGATTGTCTTTGCGTTTTGCAGAAAACAAGACATCTTGAAGGGATCTGAGATATTGTTGACTATTTTCTGCCTTTTTATAGCAACATTTAATCCATTAATTAAGCAAATAATCTGCAGATTAAGTGATACTGAAAATAATTGTTAGTTGAGGCCTTAATTATTATATATGTGATATAGATATGTAACACATATATAACAGCATCCTGCTGTTGCTGAATGTACAGATTTTTATTTTTCCTTTTTTCCATAGTCCACCAGTTCAGGTGATAGAACAAAATGGCACTTTCCCACCGGCTTTAAGATGTTCAACAGTTAGTGGACTGGGGCAGTGAGACCAATGAAACAATGATATAATATAAGGCAGAGGGAAGATTGATAAAGAGATGGAAATTTCCTTCAGAACAAGATGTGTCTTACACAAGCCTCAAAAACCCCTTTTTAGTTTGACTCTGTGTTCATATAGACTGCGCTGATTTAAGATTATAATGAGAGGCTGTGCAGCATCTCAGTACATATATTATTCATCATACTTCACTTCAGTCAGCTGCGTTGTTTCACCGAGGCGGTACAGGCCTCTTTAAAAGCCTTTGGGAAGAAACTCGCACGCTAATGATGCTAACATGAAGTGCGGAACTGCAGAGGAAAAGCCTCGGCTGTCAAATGGAAGAGAAGAGGAGCTGAAGAGAAAGAGGGGGGAGGCAGGGAAGAAGAAGATGGAGAAAGGAAAGAGGAGAGGTGGGTGAGGAGAGTAGAGGAAAAGGCAAAAATGGCAATGTCAGGGATGACGGAGCAGATAGAAGAGGGACAGAGAGGGGGTGTCTCTGTCCTCCATCCCCAGTGGGAGCAGAGGCCTGCTGGGTGTGTTAGCATTCCTCCCTCCTTCATCATGTTTCTACTGCAGCTCGATGTCGCACTCTGTGGCTGAGAGGCGTCACTGCACCCGGCTCAGGTGGCATTGGTGGGCCGGCCTAAGGGTGACAAACAGCTTGCGCAACACTTTCGTCACATGCACTTTCTTTCTATCATACACTGCACTGGATCCACACACACACATGCATGCACGCACACACACATACACACACACAGAAAAACACACAGATCTCAGTGGCAGAGAAGAAGTGCAGAAAAAGGCTTCTCCTCGTTGGTGTCTCTCCTGACGCAGTGCTTTCAGGTTTAGTCTGTGTGTGTCTTTTGTGTGTGTGTGTGTGTGTGTGTGTGTGTGCTCTTGGGCCTGTCAGATCAGTGTCTAACAGTGACATGGTTGTCTGTGATAAGGGCTATTAGTCTTTGTGACTCATGACAGGGAAGCTTTCTGTTTTTGGTTTCAGTTCTGACCTTCATGTTTATACAGTTAAGTGCTGAAAGAATAGTAGATCAGTAGGTCTATCGAGAGAATTAGAATTAACCTTAATTATTTAATTGTTTATACTTTAATTTTGCTGTTGTGTTGTATACTGAGAGGTATTTCTAATATTATGATAATGACGAGTTGCAGTCTTGATCGCCTCTATCTGTCATACCTCTATACATATTTCTTTTATTGCTGTCATAGCAAAGGATGTTACTGTATTGTACAAAAACTAACCAGTTCTTTTTTTCCCCATTACTTGGTGACCCCTCCACCTTTTCTCAATGGCTCCTGTCTCTATTGGGCTCATCCAGGTGGTCTCTCGAGTTCCTCAGACAGCAGCCCGGCGGTGGTTCGCTACAGAAAGGACCAGCGGCCCACCACCCTCCCCATTCAGCCCTTCACCTTCCACCACCAGTTCGCCTCCAAACCCCCGCAGCCCAAGCCTCTGCTGCCCCTGCTCACAGGCTACGTCTCGGGGATGCAGGCCCGCTCCAGCTCTGGTTCTGACTCTGGAGGTCCGGTGGGGGAGGACAGTGAAGATCCAGCTGAAAATGTGCACAGGTACCAGGGGACTCTGGCTGCAGCAGGCCCTCCTCCCGGCTCAGTTCGTCCTTCGCCTCTTGGGAGCTACTCTCCAGTTCGGCTGCAGGGGGCGCCCAGCTCTGGGAGCTGCTCCACCTGCACCCCAAGCCCTCAGCCACCACACAGCCTCTCCTGCCCGCTTTCAGCAGGCCTCGGCCCCCTGCACACCCCACCCACTGGGAAGCAGGGAGGGGGTTCAGTGCCCTTATCGTCTACCCCTCCACCTCCATCCCTGGGGGTGAAGAGAGGGACAGTGCCGCCAGTGCTGCCGGCGGTGCAGGGACACTGTTTCCATCGTGGAGCTCTGGCCAGTTTACCAGCACTCCACAGTGACACACTGAGTCCGCTGGGCTGTCTGGACTCTGGAAATCACATGGAGGCAAGCAAAGGACCCGGAGCCAGGACACATAATGGTAGGTTCCGAAATAATTCTAGTGTCCGTAAAGAATTAAAAAAAATTCTGTGCTCCTGAATAAAAAATGAAAAAAAAGGTTGAAACAAAAGCAAACTTCTGGCACATGTATAAATGGGCAGCAACAATATAGTTAAGATGAGCCTATATTAGGTACATGGCTTGATCGTAGGATAATTAAAAACACAACAAGTGTCAACATACTTTGAAGTTTGCTGGATGTTTTCCTCTGTATACACATAAAGGCAGGGGTCACACAGATACAACACACAAGCCTCTGTTTGGGTGGAAGTCCCCAAACTCAATTTATGTCTTCATTTGTCATTCCTAAAGATGAATTAAAAAAATGCAAAACATGCAGTCACTGTTGTTAAAAAGGTAAAAAGGTTGTTTTCCACACTTTAACCACTTGAACATCAAGTAAATTGTGTCTGCTTTGCTTGGTGAAAATATGACATAAGTTCCAATATACTTTTGCCGCTGGGTTTGCTACTGTACCCACTTCTTTTTCTTTCCACTTTATGACTGTGGTCATCTTTCCTGTTCCTGTTTTCTTGTTGTTCTTCTTTGTCACTGACTTTACATTGGCTTTATATTAGTCAGATAGAATCACTCTACAGGTTTACATTAAAAGGAACTAAAACTTTATTTAGTCATTTGAAACTACTGTTCTAAGGTTAGGCAAACTGTCACAGCCCAATGTGATAGAATGTTATGTTCACAGTCTCTTTGAGACAACAACAGTTGGCTGCCCAGTGTTTCACTTATGTTTAAGTTATTAAGTTCTGTGTAATTCAGTGTTGATATACTCTTTAAAAGAAGCTAAGCTCTTGTACATTCTTACTGTTGTCTTTTTCTCTTTCTTTCTTCTCTCCCGCCATGCATGTACTTAAATCTTCTCCTGTCCTCCCTTCACCTTTTCCATCTGCTTTTCCCCCATAAACTTCTTTTATTCATCCACTGAATAATCCATCCTTCAACCCTGAACCAACCACAAAACCCTTGGTCATAACCCTCCCCTCCACAACAGCACACCACCTCTCTCCCCAGGCTCTCAAATGGAGGGAGTACCGTCGTCGAAACCCTCTGGGAGTGGAGAGGGTCTCGGCATCATGCCCCCACTCTGGTAACCTGGAACCCCGAAGGGGCGGGGGACCACGACCTGCAAGACGGAACGTGTTCGATTTCCCTTCAGCCCTCTCTGGCCACACGCTGGGACGGTTAAATGGTGCTCATAATTTTACTGACAGTGTTGGAACACAAGATTATGGGGATATTTGAAAAGTAGACTTGGATTGTTAAAGTACCAGTAGGTAGGAGTTCAAGATCCAAAGAATGCAGGATCTGAGGGAAAAGTCACTAAAATAATATTGACGCAGGGTTCTTCTGAACAAATATGTTAGAGATCCATAAAGATGTTACTCAAAGTCTGGCCTACAGTTGCATACTTAAGGATCCCTAAAAGCTTCTCTTACTTTTAAAAATGGTAGTGTGTGTTTATACTGTACGCGTTTCTGATCATCTGTGTGTGTGTGTGTGTGTGTGTGTGTCTCAGCAGTGGGCCAGTCAGCTAAGCTGCAGCACAGCTACAGCGACTTCCTGCCAGACTACTTCTCCCTGACAGAGAAGCCTCCCGAGGAGTTCTGCCTCTCCCCCGACGCTTCAACTTCCTCATCCTCATGCTCTTCCACACAGTCCCACATCTCTGTGGACCTGACACAGAAGAGAGGTATGGGTGTGTGTGTGTGTGTGTGTGTGTGTGTGTGTGTGTGGGCATGATAGACAGTGACAGTGGGAATCAGAAGGAAGTCTAAATATTTTATTGCTAAATTACAAAATGTCTGTGGGCTTTTTTCCTTGGAGCTTATTGCATTCATTTACTGCTTTCTGTATTTCTCGTTTTGACCGCATTAACTTTTCCAGGAACATTTTAAGGAACTCTGGAACTTTAATAATGTTAATATATGCAGTTAAGTGCAGAAAACCGGTTTCAAGTGCATCTAGATTGGTACAGCAGTGCAGCATTAATTCGGAAGAACTGGTTGTAGATAGTATCAGTATCAGGACCTTTTATGGAAATTTTGTACTAATATTGATATTTAGACAATGCCATGTAGCTGACACCTGTAGTAGTCAAAAACAGAGCTAGATAAATAGATATTTTACCAAAAGAAATCTCATCACATCACCTTACTTGGTGTTTTTGAGGCTTTCAGCCACATCTTGTGGCCTTGCAAAGCTGAAGGAGTTGCTCACTTGTTATGAAAATAGATAACTTTTTATGACGTGACCTAAGTATGAAATTTTGGACACATGATAACAGGTAATAAAGAGACATTGTCCCAATGTGACTACATACAGAGTTATAATTAAAAGGAGCAGGCTGTGTAGCCTTTCTGGTGTTGTCAGTTCTGGATGCTTCATTCAGACCTTTCTAACAGAATAACACATCTGTTGCATACTGTATGTCTTAATACTTTGTACTAATAAATACAAGTCATGACAAGCTGTCAGTAGAGGAATACGCTGGTTTGTACTGTAAGCACTGCCCAGAATCAAATAACGATCTCAGATTACCGTTTAGAGAATCACATTTCCTGAGGATGCAGTGTTGTCAAGGAGAATAGGGAGGGAAATGATGCTGTTGAAAGGTGCTTAAAAGCTACTTGACAGTGAGGAGTTTTGCTCGAGGCCTCTTGAGGGCGACAGAGTGTTGTATAATAAGCAGGGAGATCATTGTTCACCGTGATCGTCCAGGTTCACCTCTCTGTATGGACCAGCATCTTCAATTTGGGGTGTACTTGAGCAGGACACTAAGCCAGATTCCCCTTTTATTTTAGATACATGTACTTTACTCATTTTATAAGTAAAGCTAAATCCTTTTTGCTCAGTCAGTAGGAGTTGTAGCCTTTGTAAATGTTTGTTACTTAATTTAGATTTTGACATCGGTACATTTTATCTTGTTTTGAGATTGCTGATGGGAGACAAATCCCTAGAAGGCTGCCCCAGCTGTTCATTGCACAACTACTTGCTGCCTTAGTAGATCAAACATTGAACTCATGCAAATTGCAAGCACAAAGACTAGATTTGGATCTCAGTGACTCTCTGTTAAAACAATAAACCAAATGGATTTAGTAGAATGTTAAACAGGAAAAAAACTCTTTCTTTACTCTTTCCTGCCGTCAGGTTTGGTGAAAGCCGTGAACACAGCAGTGGATCTGATTGTCGCACACTTCGGCACCAGTCGAGACCCAGATGTAAAGGTGGGAGTTTTTCAGTGGATCAGATTGAGACCGCTAGTAACTGATTTACTGCTAATACACCATTCTTCTGAAGATTAAAGGGGTGGCTGATTCTGCTGGCTGATTAAAGCTCACATAGCAAACTGTTGAGCCTACACTAGCTTTTGAACAACAATTTACTAATACCACTGCAGTGTAGTAAAGTACAAAAGACCATAAAACCTTTTAGTTGGTAAATTACGTTAGTTTCACACTCAGATGGCCCCATCTGTTTTTTTTCACATTTCCATTTGTCTTAGTTCAGTTCAATGCAACAGTGATTAAGTTAGCGTATAAGATCTTCATTCTTAAAAGTATTTTTGCCTTCCTCGGCTGTGTTGTGGACTCAAGCTTAGTGTTAGGCACGTCATGTTTAGGGCTCATATGTCCTAAGTTTGTTTGACGTATTGGTCTTCACCATTATTTTATTAATAATACAGCACATATGGTGGAACCACCACCACAAATGTGTGACTTTTGCTTTCTTCAGTGGCTTTAGTCAGGAAACTGAATTTTTGGCACTCACTGTGGGTAATGTGGGTATTTACACAGAGCAGATAAAATACAGATTAATTATAAACTAGGCTTCAGTCTAATCCAGAGAACAAAAGAGCAGGTAAATACAGCCTTCAATCATTCACTGATTGAAGGCTTGGGAAAACGGATAATATGTTTACTTTCTGTTTATTTTAGTAGGATATACTCACAAAGTAAAAAAAAAAAAAAATAGCGCAGACAAAAGCAGATTTCCCGATAATGGACCGGAGGTTTTGCATCATTCTTTACTTTTGATCCCGTCTTGCCATCTAATTCCCTGATTTGTTTTACTTTCATTTCCTCTATCCGCTAAAATTTTTCCACAACCCTGCCAGGCTAAGCTGGGGAACAGCTGGGTGAGTCCCAATGTGGGTCACCTCATTCTGAAGTACCTGTGTCCGGCCCTGCATGAGGTGCTGCAGGACGGTCTGAAGGCCTACGTACTGGACCTGATCATCGGACAGCGGCGTTGTCAGCCCTGGAGCCTGGTGGAGGCCTCCACGCAGCTGGGTGAGAACCGTGGTATTTGTCACAAACTGTTATGTGTACTGTATGTCTAAAGCACACTGGTGACATTTTAGTTTGGACCACTTTTACTGAAACGGATTCCTTAAGATCTGTTGTATTATCAGTAATTGACTACTTACTACTACGAATTAGGACCAGTGGTCATTACACTGAGGAGCAGTATCATCACAAAGTTGATGAAGCAGTAAGAAGTACCAGCTTCATGCTTAATGTGCTTTTAAATAACATCACAACCTGTAAAGAGACAGAGGAGACACTTCTTGTAGGCTTCCATGTACAATGACAACCATATGAGGTAACATGTCAGAGAACAAGGAGGCGCTCGTGGGTAACGTATTTCCTTGTTTGTCACGGTCAGGTCCGTCCACACGTGTCCTCCACAGCCTGTTCTCAAAGGTGAGCCAGTACTCCGAGCTCACAAGCCACAGAATGAGACTCAACGCCTTCATCTTCGGCCTGCTCAAGTAAGTTATTTGTCTTCATCCTGGTTTTTACTGTCATTCATCCACCTAATCTTTACAGCTGTGGTTCTCATCCTAGGGGTCAGGATCTTTAAAGTGGGTGGATCAATGTGTCACATGATGAAGTGATTATCCCTAATAAAACTGGGGTGATTTCCGTGTCTAATAAGTACATACGCATATTCTTACAGATAGTAGGCTCACACCCATTCTAATTTTTTGACTGATTCATTTTGGGTGATTTAGTCATGTCAGCTTATTATGGTTTAAGAAGAGGTTATTCTACTGTCCTGAATTTTAGTCTTGGTCGTTGTCTAAATTTCTCCTGTAGGAGAGCGATGGTGCATTTATGTTTATTGTCCTTATATTTCAGCCTAAAATCTTTGGAATTCTGGTTCAATCACCTCTACACACATGAAGGTAAGACTCAGTTGGTAACCCAGATAGTTATTCGATATGTGTATAAAGTTTTGCTTCTTCTGAATCTGATATTCTTCTTGTTCTGTTTCACTTTCCTCAGATATTATAGCAGCACACTACAACCTGTGGGGTTTCCTTCCCCTGTCGCAGGGGGCATGTCAGCCACTCTTTGAGGAGCTCCTCCTCCTGCTGCAGCCGCTGTCGCTCCTCCCCTTCGACCTGGACCTGCTTTTTGAACCGCATCTCCTCCAAAAGGGCCAGGAGCATCTCCGTCGCAAGGAGCAGCTGTGCTCTGCAGGCCAGAGTGTAAACCAGTCAACTCGATCCACCTTCCAGCTCATGAGAGGATGGAGCACCACTGTGAGCGAAATGGTCAGAGACTCAAGTGCAGAGGTGAAGAAAGAGAGGGCGGTGCTGAGACGAGAGGGAACATGGCCGAGGATGGAAGGGGTCGGGTCGAGGAGAGAGGGAGCAGGGGGGAATTCAAGGTTAAAGAAAGAAGGGGCAACAGCTGAGAGCATGACATCCGGGCCTGTAAGTAGACCAGCAATGACGGAAGTAGGGTTTGCCAATCTCTGGAAGGAGAGGGGAATGGGTGGTCAAAGAGTGAAAGGTGTAGGACAAGAGAGCCAAGGAGAAGGTGAATATGGACAAGAGAAGGACAGGGGGAAGGAAAAAGAAAAAGATATGGCAGACGAGGGGCGTCAGCGGCAAGATAGACAGGCGGGTTGGTGGTACCAGCTCATGCAGTCCTCCCAGGTATACATTGACCAATCCACAGAGGGGTCAAAGTTTGTCAAGACTGAGAAGAGGAAGAAGTCATCAGAGAGACGACAGGGCCAGCTACCGCCTACCAGGGAGGGAGTGGTGGAGGGGGCAGAGTCAGTCCAAGAAGCGGAGGGGCATCGAAGCAGGAAAAGCAGCAGTAGCTCTAGTGCAGAGTCAGCTGGATCCAGGGGAAGGCCTTCATGGATGGGCAGCCCGCCAGATTCTGTTGTCAACCAGGAGAAGGAGCCCAAACCACTGAAGGTTACAGGGACTGGAGCCCAGGCTGCAGCCCAAGAGGAAAGCCCCTCTCAGGGACAGAGTCTGCGCTGGGGCAGGCTCTTTGGATCTAGTGTTGGTACTCCTTCGAGGGTGGAGGGAGCTGAGCAGAGGGCTAAAACTCAAACGATCAGGTAAGCTAAAAGGATAAGTCTGATGATATTTTATGTTTTTCTTATTGTCAACAAATCCCATCCAAAGGCTGATATATCTTATTCCTCTGAGCCATAGAGCTCCACTCTTGTCCCAAAACTATTAAAAGTGAGCTACATTCTTACCCTGGCTGACTCTGGCAGTGTCTTCATTACCATGAACAAACACGCAGTCCTAGTGCTGTAAATATTTACTAGCTCTTATAAATCCGCAGCTGAAAATAGTCCCCAGCAAATGCACTTCCTGTTTGGTCATCCATTTGCTACAAATTACAGACTACTAGGATGTTGTTTTGTTGGATTTGTTGCCAGGAACAAAAATACGATCAGCCTTATCTTTAAAGTTTAACAAATGTCAACCTTTTTACCAAAACTTGCTTTAGCTCTCACAGTACAGTACAATACATTTCAGATTTTTTCACACTGTGTTTTTCTTTCTAAGGCCACCATCAGGTTGGCTTTCTCTGGATAGGTCTGTTCTTGACCTTGTAGCTCAGACTATTGGAGCAGGGAGTGGGAAGAAGGCAGAGCCTCCAATCACACCCACTCACACCCAAACAACACCTCCACTAAGGTCAACCCAACCAACTGAAGCCAAAACACAGTCTCCGTGGTAAGCAAATACTACACACGTGTCCTGTTCTGTCAGAAAACGCCATAGGATTATACTCCAGTTCGTCCAGTGTTTATTCTCCAAACGAGAGACTTTTTCATTAAATAAAAGGTTTGGTAGATCATAAAAGAGCACAAATCATGTATATGGTCAAACACAAATGAGAGCTAATATGATTTGAGAGAAATATTCATGTTTAAGAAACAGATGGACCGAACTGAAAATGCGTAGCACACCATGTAATTTAAAGGACATTTTTCATCAGAATGGCATGTTGACTTTTGTGTGAAAGAGTGTTAAATTTGCCAGTAATTTTCTGTCCATTTTACTTACCTAATTGAATCACCTTTTCTCCGTGTCCTCTGTCATTCCTCAGTGAAGTACGAGCACTGTGCCATCACATAGCCACCGAGCCCGGCCAGCTGAGCTTCAACAAGGGCGATATCCTGCGGGTCCTGAGCAAGGCGGATCCAGACTGGCTGTTCTGCTCACTGGGCTCCACGCAGGGCTTGGTTCCCATCATCTATGTTACCCTCAAAAGCATGGAGGACAGCCAGGAGGCCACTGGACTCGGGCGGCGCTGAGCCAACGCTGCCCCAAGAGGAATTCATGCAAGCTGTTGAAGGCAAAATGCTTTGGAGACAGAGGTTATTCCTGCCACATACCTACCGAAAACAAAAACCTGTTGATGGCTGCTGTTGGAGATAACTGTACACTGGGGGTGATTCCCGAAAAAAAAAAAATAAAAACATTGTAACAAATACGATCATTATGAAGAGGATGTACAGACACTTGCAAGGGAAGCATGCAGGCTCCAACACAAACTCACATCCACTTTGAGGGTACATCCAGACAAGTATGCATGCATACATCCAAAAACCAAAAGACCAGATAAGAAACAAACCCAAAGACACTCCAACAAACCGCTTTTTTCTCTGCGTGCAGCTGTGCTACTAGCTTAATTATGACTGTCCAGTCGATACAGTATATCATCCACCTTTCCATAAAACAAGGAGGGGTTACTCATGGTTGGTAAACTTCCCAGTGTGATTATATACCATGCCTAGCTGCACTTTGCTGTACCGTCAGTACATTCACCTAGCTGTGCCACACTTTTGAACACAGTGCTCAGTTATTGCCCTCAGTCTAACGCTGGGTCGGTTTGATGTCCTGTTGCTTATTTGGTGCCGATTTTAATTATACATAGAAATAGAAAACAGTGAATCCTTGCTTTTTTTTTTGGTAAGATTTATAAGAAGTGGGTGGTGTAAAGGCAAAAAAAAAGAGTCAACTTATTGATCCATGTCTGCTCCAGTGGCAGAGGTGTGAGTCAGCATATTGTTATTAGAAGAGTAGAAAACACACACAGGAGTTTGGATGACCCAGGTGAAAGAAAAGCAAAAGAGGAATCTTTCCATTCCCCGTCTTCTTATTTGATCACTCCTCGTCAAAGCCTCCCCTTTGCCTCACAAGACCCCACCACAGCTGGGATGAATCAATGGTTAACATTGTATAAGTGCATGCAACCCTGCAAACATGTTCTTTTCCCCCCAACAAACCAGTTTCACATGTGTTCCCGCCGAACCCTGCACCTCGGTTCCCTCCTTTATCTGTCATTAAAGGACACTTTCTTGAAGAAGACACAGGGGCTACAGTCTGAGCGGTGCATTTTGATCTATTGGTATGTACTGAAAATGCATATATGACTTACACATGTGGTGAGTTCCATTTATTTATTGACCAGTTCCGTTATCTGGGGGAAGCATCTAAATGGACGGTTGCCAGAAAACGGGGAAGGATGTCCAATGAAAGCAAAGCTGTGGAGTGTGCGGAGGCCTTTTTTGAATGTGTTGGGGATCCAGCCTGGAAACTGTTAGCTGGCTAAATTATTGCTAATTCTTAATGTGTTGCATTTAGAAAGGGGTAAATGATCTTATCTATGCCTTAAAGCGCCTGAAGGGGAAAAGGGAGAATTGCCCTGTTGGACACTTCAAGGCTAGTGAATATTTGTCCTGGCAGTATATTTTGTATATGCTATGACGTGTCTAACTTGACATTTTCCCCAGATTTATGTCTACAGAGATTCTTTTTAACTTCAAAGAAAATAGAGACGACATAGAGATGATATTTTTTGATGCTTAAAGGGAAACCCCAACACATTGGTTTGTGACGGTGGCTTTGTGGGCATTCCTGTGTTAGTATGTACAGTACATGCTGCCTGTCAGGTGTAAAATGTGGCCTTAGGTTCAAAATGAGTTGATAAAGAACTAAGATTTGCGGCTATATACCTGGATACATGTTGAGCATATACAGATGCCCAATCCAAATATTACACATTATAAAATGGTAAAAGTCTATGTACATTTATTAAATAAATGAATGCTTGTGTAGTTTTTGAAAAACTTACATAGTGATAATTTTGCCATTTTCACGTTCTGTTTGTTGCATTATTGTACAGTTTGTACAGTCATTTAATTTCAGCAAAGACATTTTTAAACACTTCATTTTCATTGAACTGTAAATATATTTAAATCCTTCAGTGATTCATTTCTGCCATAGAGCTATATATGTATGAATGCTATTACTGATTTGTTAATGTTAATGCATTTTATGTTGAATACAGGACGCAGGTGTAAGCTTCAGTTTCAGCGCTAACGACCATAATGACCGTGAAGTCATAGTGGAAGGTATGATGAGTGGTGTCATTTCCGGTCCTCCAGGTAGTTTGCTGTTCATTGACATCCTGTTAAGAGTTCACATGTGGCAGACAGAAATAAAAACATAGTAGTGATAAAACCAGAGAGACATGGGGCTCAGGGGCAAGAGGCAAAGACAGAGTCACTTTTGGTTTGGCATTCGGTTAGCTTAAATGTTGTGCTTTAAAATGCTACACTTGTAGGAGTGACAAGTTTGCAAGACTTATCTGCTTTCTCTCTCTCTGGCTGCCTCCTCCCGCCTGTAAATACCTTCAGCATCAGTGACACTGCTCTTCTCTCTGTGTCCAGGCTATATGATGTATATGTATGACATTATCAAACTACTATGGATGTTAAATAACAAAGTGCTCATGTGATCACAAACGCAAATGGCTCCTGTGTCTTTTGTCCTTTATATAGTTCACTGTTGAAGTGGTTCTCCACCCAGAGACTTTTGATTATGAGACACTGCAGAAATGAAAGGTTTGTAGTTTGCTCCATCAAAGAAAATGAGGGCTGTGGACTACACGTATATAGAAACCAGTTCCAAACGTTTTAACTATTGCTAAAAATGTGTCTAAATGCAATCGTTTCATTGGTCAGATTTGTTCTTTTCTAGGCCACTACTTTTTTATTGCGTGACCTGACTAAATAACCAACTTGTTTGTTAGTGCCAATTCCTATTAAAGTTTACAGATTAGCTTCCATGTAATATACATAATTCAGTTACCTTCTTAATAAACCAAAATTCCTCACAACAGTCTTCTTGATCAGTAAAAGAGCAAGAGGATCTGAATGAAAACCAAACCAATGCAGACAACAAGTGAGAAGAAAATACTTGCTACAAAGTACGCACATAGACTTTGTGGTTTATGTTTCAAAAATGTTTTAATAATTTCTTCCTTAATTTAGCACAGCGACCGTTCTCCATGAAAGACAAAACTACAAATCTTTACAGCCTTTTTGATCCTCAAAAGATAGGGTGAGGTGTAACTAACATTTGATATACAGAAAGGTGCGCACTGTCTTCCCTGAAAGATATCAAGTCCAGTATCTGAACTGGTACTGCAGGCCAGAGGTCGATAAATGAAAGAAAACATGATGTACTTTGTATACCATATATCATCATCGTACTATGTACAGTATGTTCACTGGTGAGCAGGATGCACTTCAGCCTTTAGATGGCGCTGATATTCAAAAGACAAGATAAATCAATTTTGAGATCAACCAATTGCAATATTCAGGCTCTTTCAATCTTACAGTGCCAGATTAAAACAGTGCAGGCACACAATGTCAATAGTGAAATATTTTCTTTCTCCTATATAAACTGTCTTTCCAGTCAAGCTATAGTGTTTTAAGGTCTACAACACGTCCTATTAACACTGGTCAGAGCCTAAGAGGATCATGTTGACTTGACATTAGATTCAACATTACCCTGATAAATAAATCATGTCTTACTCAAAGCTCCAGTGTGTTATATTAAGGAGGATCTATTAACAGAAATGCAATATAGATAACTATGTTTTCAGTGGTGTATAAAGACCTTACATAATGAACCCATATTATTATTTTAGAATGAGCCATTTCTATCTACATACACAGAGGGTCATCTTACACGGACGTCACCATGTTGTGCTACAAATGACGGAAGAAGAATGTTTTTTTCTTCCTCAAATCAAACAGAGCAAAAAGAGAAATAAAGTGTACATGGGACATAAAGAAGTATACAGAACTTTGATTAGTGCAAAATCACATGTCATTTGTGACATGGTTATAACAGTTAGTTTGCTGTTCATGTAGAGTGAACTAGATGTCTGCGTGTTGTTTATATAGCTATTTTATTTCTGTTTTTGCAATAACGATTTAAGAAGGAAAAAAGATTCTGATTATTCCGACATCACGTTAAGGCACCGCTAACCACTCCCTTTCTAAGAGCGCAGGAGAACTACGCTGGCCGACACGCTCTGTTGGCTCTTGTGCTAAATAATACGCGTGGGCATCCATTTGTCCAAATTTCTCTTCTTTTCTTATTTCTAATAAACTACTAACATTATTTTGTTTCTTCTTCTTTGTATGTATTCAACGTAGTGACAAAACGCGTTATGTAGAGACTTTTGTCCGCTTGGGCTACTGTAGAAACATGGCAGCGCAACATGCCAACGTCCATGTTAGAGGACGGTGTATGTAGATAGAAATGGCTCATTCTAAGGTAATAAAAACATTTGTAAGGTTCATTATGTAAGGTCTTTATACACTACTGAAAAAGTTATGGATATTATATTGCATTTATCCTTCTAAATATTACCCACTGAACCTTTAATATACTGTCAACAATTGTTCTTTGTAACTTTACAGATACTTAGAGGGACAAGTCTAAGTGTTGAACATTTGGCCGCCATTAGCAGGTAACCAATCATGATTTCCCTGCATCTATCCAACCCGTTAAACATCTTTAACAAGAAATGGATGCTGTACGACCACATACTGCAGAAATGTCGTAATAAGGTAATGTACAACTCCTTGTAGAAACACATCCAGGCCTGCCTTATCTCCCTCAGTTTTCTCTCACACAGGTTCTGGTTTATTGTCTTTAATACAATAATCACAAGGATCTAAATGAGATTCTCCTGAATAGCAAAGACATATTTTCTATGGAAATCCACACGGTGGGTTGCACTTCCCATAATTCAGTGGCCTGTCTCACTGAGCTGAATGATTTGGCAATATGGGGAAGTTATTTTACCATGCCAATGCTTTAGAAAAGTGCTGCAATATTTGAAACTGCAGACTTGCCTCATCTTGACGTCAAAGAGATGATATACAGACATTCCTTTGTTCCACTGCATGTGAACTCCGTCACATTTGTTTTATTGATTTCCTCTTTCTTCCTAGCACTTCCTTCTTGGATTCTTCTCCTGCACAATAAGTTTGAGCAAAGACTTTTGACATTCGTGGTAGACTGTGCCAAAGTGTGAAATCGAATCCTTTACAGGAGGATTAAAGGGTGAATGGGTGACACTTAGCCTTTTAAGTTCTCAAATGTGGCAGTCGTTACCTCGAGGTCCTGGAAATCACTCTGCTCATCATCTGAAAGCCACAGGCTTAAATCCTGAGCAAAATCTTGAAAATACATCCTTTTCCTTTTACAAACAATTTTGACTTGAGGGAGGCATTCAACCCCCGCTTGCCTTTTTGATGACACCTTTTCATCTCCTTTTTTGTATGTTATGTATACAAAACAACATCAACAGAGATGCCCAATCTCTCATGTACTTAGGTTTGCCAAGGTTTTAAGTTACTGTAAAAGGAGAGTTGGATAAGCTCACAAAATACATGAGCTCAGCAGTATTTCAACGCAAGCTTAGACAAATTGCATCTGCTGGGTCTTTTATAACATTTTGTTCCGGTTTAATCGGGGAAGCATGGGCTTTACTCATAAGCTCCTGCTTCTGTAGTCTACCAACAACAGTAAAGCCAAAATCTGTTGGTTTAAGCCTGCAAACTAATGCAAATGTTCAGAAACATACATCCAAATTCACATATTCATTCATTCATTATAGAATGTAGAAAAATTCCAATGTAAAAACACTGCATAGAAATTGTAGATAGAAAAAATGTTAGTGAACCGTAGATTATTTAAAAAGTGATAAATGACTGTAAAATGAATTCATACATTTACATTTACAGGTGCTGGTCATATAATTAGAATATCATCAAAAAGTTGATTTATTTCAGTAATTCCATTCAAAAAGTGAAACTTGGATATTGTATTCATTCATTCCACACAGACTGATATATTTCAAGTGTTTATTTCATTTAATTATGCTGATTAAAACTAATGAAAATCCCAAATTCAGTATCTCCGAAAATTAGAATATTATTTAAGACCAATACAAAAAAAAGGATTTTTAGAAATGTTGGCCAACTGAAAAGTATGAACATGAAAAGTATGAGCATGTACAGCACTCAATACTTAGTTGGGGCTGCTTTTGCCTGAATTACTGTAGCAATGCGGCGAGGCATGGAGTCCATCAGTCTGTGGCACTGCTCAGGTGTTATGAGAGCCCAGGTTGCTCTGATAGTGGCCTTCAGCTCTTCTGCATTGTTGGGTCTGGCGTATCACATCTTCCTCTTCACAATAACCCATAGATTTTCTATAGGGTTAAGGTCAGGCGAGTTTACTGGCCAGTTAAGAACAGGGATCCCATGGTCCTTAAAACCAGGTACTGGTAGCTTTGGCACTGTGTGCAGGTGCCAAGTCCTGTTGGAAAATGAAATCTGCATCTCCATAAAGTTGGTCAGCAGCAGGAAGCATGAAGTGCTCTAAAACTTCCTGGTGGACGGCTGCATTGACCTTGGACCTCAGAAAACACAGTGGACCAACACCAGCACGTGGGGGTTTAGCACTGAACACACAGTTGAGCTGATGTTGATTGTTCTACCAGTCTGTGGTGGCCAGTATCATCTTCTTTGCTGTGGTGTGCTGGGGAGGTGGCATCAGGACTTGAGGTGCCAACAAACTGGGGCAAGCTGGTGAAGAAGGCCAGCTCGGTGGTGGGGATGAAACTTGACAGCGTGGACAGCGTAACTCTGCCTTTAATCAGCCACCGTTTTCCACTTATCATTTATTTATTCACCATTCTCTATTTTCAGTGCTGTTCATACTATGTCATATTGTATATACTGTATACAAATACACCTACCTCAGGTCATAAGGTCATAGGTCTTATTTATTTTTTCCAGCTTTGCACTATGCTCCATCACACTGTGTACATGTGTACATGTATGCATGTATGTGTACCTGTATATCACATCCACCTTCAACATGTTTGTTGTCATTATTGTGTTATGGTATTATTGTATAAGTAAACACATCGTGAGCAATGTACAATCCTGAGTGGAATGCCTCACTTGTATGTGTACACATACCTGGCAATAAATCTGATTCTGATTCTGATGAGAGGGAAGCTGAAAGCCATCATGGACCATGCTTTCCATCCACTCTATGCTGAGCTGAGACTTTTACATTGACAAGCACAAATCTTTCAGAGACTCCTATCCCATATACAACTCCTTTTTTTTGCACATACACAGTACCTCAGAAACTTTGCACATAGACACAGAATATACAGCGGAAATCGAACTGGCCATCCTCGAATTATGATCTTCAAATGTCTGCGATATACAGTGGGTACGGAAGGGTATTCAGACCCCTTTAAATTTTTCACTCTTTGTTTCATTGCAGCCATTTTCCAAAAATCAAAAAAAGTTCATTTTATTTCTCAGTAATGTACACTCAGCACCCCATCTTGACAGAAAAAAACAGAAATGTAGAAATTTTTGCAAATTTATTAAAAAAGAAAAACTGAAATATCACATGGTCAT